TAGTAGTAGTAGTAGTAGTAGTAGTAGTAGTAGTAGTAGTAGTAGTATACATTTTTCTTTTTTCGTGTGAATTTCGCTGTGAAATGGGAGGGTTAAGGTACTTTATAAGACGGTTCATGCCCCCCTCATGGGTGACGTCGAACCCTCCATCGATAGTGAAAACAGGTTTGTTAACAGATTGTTTCAAAAATATGTGAATGTTCCAATTCCAAGCGTGTGAAGATAGAGGCGTGCTTGGGGAGTGTGAGATGCTGGCTTCAGTTCATTTACAGGTTTCTTCACAGTATGTTTGAACTCTGACAGCGTGTGGAAAAGAATCTCTGGCTTTTTGATGGATGTGCGCAGCTCATCCTGAATACTTTAAACTTTTGTACTAGAGATCAAAAATGACAAAGTTAGAGGCTTAATTAAGACGTCTATACCATCTATGAAAAGCTAGGTTGCCCCTCTCATTTCTTAAAAAACCAAAGTCCTTACACCTGTCAATTTATTCACGGTCAGGTGTTGCCCTAACCAACTCATAGCTATGAAATGGGGTCCCCCAGAATTCACACAGGGATGTAGTAGTAGGAGGAGTAGTACTAGGAGTAGGAGTAGGAGCAGGAGCAGGAGTAGGAGTAGTAGTAGGAGTAGGAGTAGTTATAGTAGTAGTAGTAGTAGTAGTAGTAGTAGTAGTAGTAGTCGTAGTAGTAGTAGCAGTGGCAGTAGCAGTAATCACGAAAGGTAGCTTGAGCTACCTGAGTTCTCCTTGCTTTAGCAAAAGTGTATTACAATGAGGAGTTGGGATTGTGCATTGAATTTGGTCCTGTAAGAGTTGATTCTGTTCGTCGGGGGGGGGGGGGGCCCCCCCCCCCTGGATCAAATCCCCCCTGCGCCGGTTCACGCCGTCGTGGACTTCTACCAGGGTTACTTGTGATTGCCTGCTACCTTTCGTTCACCCCCTCCTCTCTCAAGTAGCAGGAGTAGGAGTAGCAGGAGTAGTAGGAGTAGGAATAGAAGTTGTTTTGTTTCATTGTTTTGTGGGTCTTCATGGTCTTCACAGTCCACATCCTGCGGGTCAACATGGGTTGCAGGTTGTTTCAAGCTTTCTGATCGCGATCATCCATTTGCTGCATGCCAGACAGGTAGGTGCACATGTTGTTCATCATTCGATCTGTGTGAGCTTCTCTGTCCTTCAGAGCAAATGACGCCCGAGTGGAATACGTATGCAAATTAATACGTATGTTTTAGCCAAATAGATGTACATTGTTGCAACGTGACCATTCTCGGCTTCCAGATTGCTACAGTCCTGCTGTCGACCCGAATCTGTCCGGTGAACTACTCGGCGTCCACCCAATGATCTCGTGTCCGAATGCGATGAGAGGTCTTCGATGGGCAAAATCATGCAGCCACCTTCCTAGTGCGAGAAAAACACTTCGAAGGGCAGGACGGAAGGACGTGAAACGTGTTTTGGGCGCCTGTGGCCAAGTGACCACAGGTGGTACGGGAAGATGATGGAAGATGTCCCGAAAAGTTTGGGTGCGGAAACACATTTTTCTGGGCGGATCGAGTGCCTTGTATTTTGTGGTGTTGGTGCATATAATCTGGATTTCCATTCCAGGTATGGGGCGGCTTTGGCGTTTGATGATTTTTGATTGCCATGTCTTGCTCGTCAAAACGCAAACAAATAACTTAATTATATGGATCGGTGGATTTCTCCAAACGAACCGAAATAAAAAACAACAAAACATCAGTAGCTCACCTGGGCACGTGTCGCCACGCGGTGTACTCCGCGCAGAGTACTCCGCCCGCAGGAGTATTTGCCCGTCTTCAGCTGGTTCGAGGTGCAGATCCTCGGAGCGAGTATTTGCCGCTTCGGAGCTTCGCGGGGATCCCGCGGAACCGGCGACTTCAGGGTCAGGACGTGTTCGGAACCCGGTTGAAAGGGACTGGGTGAAGGATTCGTGCGAAGGGATGTGACGTCACCACCCATGGCGACTGGACTGGCCTGCATGGGTCGGGGTGGTTCCAGGCGTCAGTGTATGCCAGTCGCCACGGAGTGTGTTGGGGGGTATCTCAAATTACCGAGACAGCGAGGCCTTGGCGGCCGGGCGCTTGGATTGAACACGAGGTGATTCTGCTGACAGCTGTGAACAGCACCTTTATACGGCCCTGCACATGTTCCTAGATCGATGTTTCTATATTGAGAAACCGATGAGAAGCCGCCATCATTACACCAAAAAACGGACAAAAACTGGCGACAGACCTGCCTGATTTCTCGATCCTTCTTGGTGTGAAGTCTTTTCCCCCTTGCAGAACGTGGTGGTTCCTTTTTTCACTCCATGCGACTTGGCCGAGACGATCGCCGATCCGCCGGCCCGCGACGTCGGACGTCAGGAAGTCGGACTTGAACCCCGACGCGGACATCGCGGGCATGATGGCGTCCAGTGAGGAGAAGCAGGTGAAGTTGGAGGAGCAGTGCAAGGACCGTAAGTGCGATGAGCCGGGGTTGGGGGAGTCCAACATGAATTGCCATGACCTCGCTCCTGAGAAGGAGATGTTCTCGGATGGATATAAATTGTGTCTGTCACGAAAGCCAGACGATAGGCTAGGCTGCAGTTGTTTTTTGCTTGTGTTTTTAGTTATTACGTTGCCAAGGAGCAGGTGAATGGGTTAGTGCATCATTTGCATGAGCAACCTGCTCTGACGACACCATTACATACAGATTGATTGGGTGACATTCCACTCAGACTTGCTGGTTCACTGTTTTAAGTTTTAACATATGAAAGTCAATTTCCTATATATACACAAGTTAAGTATTGTCCTTCTACAGGTCTGGCAGGTAGTTGCTCCTGGCTTTCGTTTCCCCCTTCTCACTGCAGAAGCCTCGTTCCCAAACTATTGTATAAGAATCATGTATTCAATATTGTATCACCAAGTCACGATCAAGCTTCTGACTGTTTGAAGTCTCATGTCAAGGTCCTCACTTACCAAAATCAGGCACCATGGACCATGATGGACAAATTATGTACATCGCATGTATGTTGTTCTGTTTCTGCTCCCAGAACCTGCAGAAGATCCATCAAGGCCACTTGCTTCCAGGCGAAGTCGGAGAAGTCGTTTTGGGTCCGACTGCAGGTGGTGAGTTGGAGGGTCCGACTTCCCTTCTTCATGTGAACGTGATATACATAATTTATTTGTTGGTCTAACGTTTGAAGATTGCAGTACAGTCATTGTTTGTTATAAGCGATGTATCTGAGGGTCTTTGTTGGTCGTCCTCAGCAACGCCCATCTTCGGTAGCACAGAAGTCTTTATCTCTGAGACTCTCAGAATCTCTGTCCTGAAATCAACAGCCACAGTGGCAGACAGGGGTTCCACCGCTAGGGGACTGGTGCTAGTCTTTGCCTGTTCCACCAGGAAGCGAGGTGAGAAGTGCAACTCATGTTTGCTACAGAAAGTCGTTCGACCGCCCAACTGGCAGAATGAACTGAGACTGAAACCATGGCCACACCTCCCAGACACTCCCTGTACGGCCGCCGTCCTCCAGGTGAGACCCTCCAAGCACGTCCCGGTGCGTCTGGCGCCTTACGCTGGGACCAACCAGAGGAGTGGGCGGTGCCAGTACCCGTAGGGCACGAGGTCTATGAGCGGGACACCCGGGTGCCCGAGGATGCGGAGGACAAGGTCACGAAAGACAAGGCCACGGTAGAGGCCACGGAGGAGGAGGAGACCACCGA